TCCTCACATGCTTTCCCATACAAATGGGTTCCTTCCGCATCTGTGTTTATGTTTTTTTCTAGTCCTGTAATCCTTTTGAAACTGGGATATTATTTAGATAACCACTGGGACATGGCTCTGTTGAGGTTATTTTGTGTGTGGCATTTGTTCCAATGGCATTGTGTAAAAATTACCATAATTTTTGTGTGCAAAAGGGTTGACTTACTATCACGTTATAATTAATCTTTAAATTGCCGTAGCCTTTGAAACTTTTTACTATTTTTTAAAATAAAAGCTTTAATATATTATAGCCAGGGTGACCAGATCCACCATGTTTATAGGAATATAAGTTTCTCCTATTCATGAAAACACATTAAAAAAAGGTTGGTCTGCAGTATGTATAATGCATATTCTGCATTATAGCCTACTGCCTAATTGCTTATTTGCAGGATTCGTCATTGCCTAATTGTGTAATCTAATACACCTTCTTCTGTATTCTACATACTACAGGGCAACCTTTCATGTGCTGCCCATCAATATGTATATGCGATATGTGTCCCAGAAAACATGAATCTGATAACCCTGATTACAGCCCAAAGCATTAACACTGGACACCAGGAGGGGCCGGGCTGTGAGCTGCCAGGGACCCTCGTTCAGTTTTAAACTGTTCAAATGTTATTCACACTGAATAGAGTGATGGCGCCAGAGGACTCCAGGCACTATAACCATTTCAGTGAGATGAAGTGTTTATAATATAAAGTGTCCCTTGAAGGCCCTTTAAGATGTCCCTCGCCGCTGATTTACGCTTGGGTTACGGATGACACTGGATGTCCTCATGTATAGCATAAAACATTAAAACAACACAAGAGGACCCACATCATAAAACAGGGGAGAGCATGGGACTTGAAGACTACAAATTGGGTTCCCTGTAGACCAGGGGTTCTCAACCCAGTCCTCAGGACCCCCTACCAGTCCAGGATTTGGGGATTACCTGGGTGTGTCTAAGGTGTTTAGAAAAAGGGAAGAAAAAAAAACCTTAGACTCTAAGGTGTTGTTTTTTCTTTTTCTAAACACCTTAGACACACCCAGGTAATCCCTAAACCCTGGACTGGTAGGGGGTCCTTGAGGGCAAGGTTGAGAACCCCTGCTGTAGACCCTTAGTTACGGGGGATTTTGGTCCAGTAAAAGGTGATAAAAAAACAGGTAACCTCTAATAATTTGCACCTATAGGGATCCATTGTGAGTACCGGCTTGGTAGTTTAATATGTTTTAGTGCATTTCCATGTATTTATAGGTGCTTTCTTGCAGTTGAGAGCTGTGCTTTACATTTCACGGAAGTAACATTGAAAGGGTTAAATTAAGGTTAACATGTTTTCATTTGGATATATTTGATTATTATTAATAATAATAATAATTATTATTATTATTAGTAATTTTTATATATAAAGCGCCAGCAAATTCTGCAGGGCAGTACAATTTGTGGACTAACAAACAAGTATATGTGACCAAATGAGATGGATGCACAGGAACAGAGGGAATGAGGGTCCTGCTCAATGAGCTTACATGCAAGAGCAGGGGTTCCCAACCCAGTCCTCAAGTACCCCCTACCAGTCCATGATTTAGAGATCACCCTGTTGTGTCTAAAGTGTTTTTTCTTTTTCTTTCTTGGGTAATCCCTAAATCCTGGACTGGTAGGGTGTACTTGAGAACTGGGTTGGGAACCCCTGTGCTAGAGGAAGTGGGGTAAAGAGACACAAGTGGTAAGGGTAAGGTAGAACAGTGGGTTGCTATAGTAGTATTCACTGAGGGCTCAGTGTTTTTTTTTTTTAAAGGGACACTATAGTCTCCAGAACAACTACAGCTTAATGTAGTTGTTTTGGTGAGTATAATAATTCCCTGTAGGCTTTTTAATGCAAACACTGCCTTTTCAGAGAAAAGGCAGTGTTTACATTGCCCCCTAGGGACACCTCCTATGGCCACTTCTCAGATAGCTACTAGAGGTGCTTCCTGGGGCCATACTGGCAGAGCGTGGAGACACTGAATTTTTCTCACAGAAATGCATTGATTCAATTTATCTCTATCTGTGTTTGGTCCAACCCCCATCCCGTCTCCTTGCCGATTTCAGCCAATCCAACACTTTCCCTATGGGATAGCTTTGGATTGGTTAAAAATCGTAAATTCTGATGATGTGACGAAGGAGGCGGACCAGGGGCAGGGTCAGTGCTGCGCAGGAAATAAGGTGAGTTTTAACCTCTTTTAAGTGGGCAAAGGATGTGGGGACAAGCCACCCAGATTGTGGTTTTAACACTATAGGGTAAGGGATACATGTAGTGTTCCTTTAATAATAGTTGCACAAGACAAATCAGGGTGCAGGGAGCAAGGAGGGAAAGCTGTTAACAGTTTAATTGACAGGCTATACTAAAGAAGTGAGTTTTCAATTGTTTTTTTAAGAAGCTCACAAAATTGATTATTTTGTGCAAATGCATTCACTTTAATTTTGCTTCCAGCAAGCAAAATGTAGGTAACTTATGTCAGCAGAAATATCCAAAACCAAACTTTATGGTGGCATGGGTGTTAGATGGCATGGTTAAAATGAAAAATGAATGTCTAGTACACAAAAAATGGACCGTGTGAATTACAGACAGCAGTTAAATCTTCTAGCTGAGATGAAAATTAGAGATTTAGTTACATATTATGGTTGTAACACTCATAGCCTGCAGCTAGTCAGAGCATCCTAGTTTTGGCAAATCCTAACTTAATTTAATTACTTTCATTGGAGATAAATCGGTATTAATTTAGACTATCTGGCAATTCTGTTCCATCCACTAGAGATTAATTTGTATCTTAAAGCCGTCCAATAATTTATGGTCATCTTTAGAAACCATTTCAGTCATTCCAGCAACACCCAATTAATATATGCTTGTGCACAGGTGAATGCCCTTTCCATATTTTTTATTGCATATTTGAAATTATGATCAGGTTTTTGTATTAAGCACCCTTCCCAGCCACAGGTGTCTCATAAATTACAGCAAAGCCTTCCAAGAGAAAGATTTAATGCTGCCATTGAGAGAAGAACTCTCTATAATAAATGTGGCAACATATCACCACATTTGGACATATCACAGTGTGCTGTAATGTTGGATGTAGTTGCTGGAGAAGGGAGGTCCAGCTGAAAATAAATGTTAAACACAGACACCCTGACTTTCTTTGGATGATATTAAGAATTATGTACTGTATATTTGTACTGTGTTTGAGAATGTTTCAGATACCTGTGTATACCACCCCAGTTATTAATGTGAGTTAGACGGGGGCAAGGTGAGAGCAATGTTTTTCCATAGAAGCTGTGTCCAATGATGTAAGACTCTTCTTTTGCCATGAAAACCTGCCACCTCCTTCAACTGTGCAGCCTGTACAGACTCTGGAGTGCATGGTGATACAAACCTTGTATATGAAGGAGGAGGGACATACACACATCACATGGTTTAATACACACAAACACAGACACTGCCATATGCACACACACACAGCCTAAAGGATGATATATATATATACAGACACTGCCTAATACATACACAGATACTGCCTAATTCATACACGCACAGTCACTGCCTCATACATATACACAGATAAACTGCCATATGCATACAGACACTGCCTAATACATACACATACAGACACTGCCTAATGCATACACAGACAGACACTGCCTAATACATACACACACACAGAGACACTGACTAACACCGTGCTTGGAGCGCAACAGAGTGACGTAATATGTAGTGTGTCCCGCATGTTCTTGGTGGCAAGGAATAATCTAGGGGGGCAATTGCCCCTCCCATAGCTTACCTGTAGTGATGCCTATGCTCTGAATTTATTCATAGATGTCATAGTGTGATATATAGATCATGTTAAGGTTTAGAGTTGAATATATGTTGTAATATAGGGTGGGGTTTTGGGAGCGGCTAAAGATAATACATGTGAGAGGGACCATGAAATTTACCCTGAGGTTCCTGAGGGCTCTGACACCCCTTGTCTTTTCTACCAAATAAAATCACTACCTGTCTTTAGTTAATTCATTGCACAGTTCCTGATGTGTTTTCACTAATTAGCAAAATGTCAGAAATTCCTAATTTTAAGTCAATATAAATACATTTAAAACAACATGCAGGGCGGAAAGCCAGTGAACCAAAAATGGGAACCCAGTCCCTTCCTGGTTGGTGTGACGAGCAAGATCTCCTTCACCGGTCCATGGCACAAACAGCGGCATATGGAGCATCTGGGCAGCACCTTGGGCTGGTGCAGACTAAGTGCTTTGTTACACCAACGCTTTCAGTAATGCCAGAGCTCCAGGGAGATATATGTTCTTCACCAACTGGAGGGTATACTCAGCCCACTGAACACAAAGGATATGCTCTTCTCCATTGGCCAAAGGTAACAAAACTGCTTTTGTACCTTTTAATGCCCAGGCTGATGTTGTTCCCAGTTCAACCCTGTTTGAAGTTCACATTTGTAACAATTCACAGTTTCCTTAATAATTTAACCATCCTTTCACTCAATAAACTGAAACGTTTTAAGTGCCGTAGCATAAATCAGCAACAGCATTGAAATAAACCCAAACAAATAATGTACGGTAAGAATCCCTAGGACTATACAGTATTGTCGCAATAGTCATGTTTTTATAGTTTTTTTTGCTGAAAATAAAAAAATATTTTATAAAAGGAAATATCTGTGTCACCCATGGTGGCCAAGGTGACCCCATGATTACTAATCCAAACAAAAATGTGGGTGATCTACAGGACTGGTGAGGAGTGCTTTTTTTCTAAAATAAATTATTCAGAGAACCCCGGTATTCCTAACTGACCAACTTTTCCTTTAGTGTTTGTGTTTAACAAATAATTTAAATGTGGTAGGCAAAAAACAATTTTTATTCAGTAGCCACAGTATAGTTTATGTTGATTTACAAAGCTATACATTTGCTAGCCATATGGCTAGCAAAATGTAAATACATTTTTGAAATGATTGTCAGATTCAAAAGACATGCATAAAAACGCTATAAATTCACTGTTTTAATGAAATAGCTGGCACCAGGTTTTTATAATCCAGGTGGCAAAGCGATCACAGCAGAATAAACAGAAAGCATGCAAAGCTTCAGAGGGAAGTAACTTTGGTAAGTAAGAAAACAATAATTTAGAAAAGTTGATGCTAAAGTTGATATCCCTTGAGGTTTTCCTGCCTTGCGTCGTCTGTTCACAATTTAACCTCAACAACTGGTGGGCTGATCCGGTAATCACTTCCTATAAACCTTCAGTAAGCAGCAAATTATATACAAAGAGCAACATTAAAATAAATACATTTAAACAATACTGCCTCACATCCTTGTACTTCATTATTCACACACATTAAGAAGGGTTTAATGAATGTTATAGCTGAAGATAATTTCAGGGCAAAAGTGGAGCAATTGGAGGTAAATGTTGTGGGTCCTCTGATCTTTCCACTTTGGCAAATTTGCCCCAAAATAATACTTTGTATCTAAGACCAACCAATGTAAGCGGTTAGCTACAAATGTTACTCAACTTCTAACTTTTCAGTTAAGTTCATTAAAGGGACACTGTAGTCACCAGTACACCTACAGCATAATGTAGTTTTTCTGGTGAGTATAATCATTCCCTGCAGGCATTTTCACGTAAACACTGTCTTTTCATAGAAAAGGCAGAGTTTACATTCCCCCCCAGGGACACATCCAGTGGCCACTCATCAGATGGCCACTGGAGGTGCTTCCTGGGACAGTGTTGCACAGGAAGCACTGACTTTTTCTCATAGAGATGCATTAATTCAATGCATCTCTATGAGGAGGTGCTGATTCACCAAGCTGACGTTTGGCCCCGCCCCCGTCCTGCCTCTTTGATGATTTCAGCCAATCCAATGCTTTCCCTATGGGATTGGCTAAAAATCATAAATTCTAATGATGTCAGCAAGGAGGCAGATTGGGGGCAGGGCCAGTGACGCTGAAGCCGCATGGCGCTGGAAATAAGGTAAGTTGTATACCTTTTTTAGGGGGGAAAGTGGGAGCAAGCCACCTAAATGGTGGTGTTAACACTATAGGGTCAAAAATACAAGTTTGTGTTCCTGATCCTATAGTGTTCCTTTAATATTTCTAAAAAAGTTTATCTCTTTCTGTTCAGACTGCCATGTCTATGGTGAAATAACTCATTAAAGAAAATGTCTTGGTCCAACTTGCCTTTCAGTGCAAATATAAAATAGAAGCCTGATGAATGCAAATCCTGAAAGCAACTCTGTATTTCTCCAGATTTGGTGTTATAATAGTTATTTCAAGTTGAATTCGGAGCTTAATTGATATATCTTGGATGCTGGTGGGCACATTTATTACTGATCTGTCTTATGGTTATGCCTGGCTGAGTTGTGACCAGAATTCCTGTCATTGAGGTTTGGCTGGACAAACTAATCAGGACTGCCCCCAGGCCGCTGAGATAGAGCAGTCTTTGCTAAATAAGTCCCTCCTTTGTACCAGTGTCACCACCACAGAGTCAACAGCCCTCTCTAAGACACTATCTTTGGAAAACCATCACTATATATCATGTGTCTTAGAGTTAGTTTTGACTCGTTGACTGGGAATAGGAGGGCTTAGCATGGATTGTCCATGCATGGATGTCATGTTGCCATTCACATGCTAGAGTCACATGTCTTGTCACAATGTCGCTCTCCTGGACCTTTATTTCTTTAAAGGCCTAGAATAAAGCCGAGAGATTGCATGCTATATGTTGTATTGTTTTCTACTCTTTGTATACTGACATACTTGGCAGCCTCCTAAGTGGTTACGTGGATTTATTACTTTTAATTCTTTTTTTTTTAGTTTATCTGCTATTCCCCTGCTACTAAAGTTGTTACTCAAAATTCTGTTTCCTGATTGTATTTAGTTTATCAGACTATAACTAAGGATTAAAAAAAAAAAAAAAAAAGATTCCCAAGATTTCTTGTTTAAGGCTTGATACTGTGCGCGGTTACACCGGAAGTTATGGAAAAAAATGTATGAAAAAAAATAAAAGATATGAAATGCAAACTGTTCTGAAATGACCTAGCTATACATTTTTTGTATGTCCCAGTGTTTTCTTACATCTTGGAGTTGGCTTATTTGCATATTCTTAGGGTCTCCATGAGTCTAAGTGTTAATCCAAATGTGGAACCATTGCTCTTTCTGAATCCCATGTTTAATGGGGCATATGAGTTAAAGTTTGTTTGAGACTTGATTAGAAATTAAGCATAGGCCACATTTGTTTTGCCTTTCCTCAATGTTCTATTCTCATTTGGTTTATTTTATACTTGCTTCCTCTGCATACTTCTACATGCCTCAATGGTCTTTACTGAGCTGAAAAAAAGAGGAACTGTAACTGTCAAATATTGCACGCCCATCCACAATGGTGAACTCCAGGTAAGCTTAAAGGAGAAGTGTTACTTCTCGTAATTATTAACATTCTGTTTTTTCGTCAAGTATATTTAGCAAATATGTGTTTATGAGGTCTGAAAAAAAAATTTAATCGTATAAATCCACATTGCTATATTTCTATCCAGTAATTGGGCGCTTCCATATTAATTATAAATGTTGGCCTTTTCTGCCCTTGAACATTGTTCTCAATTTAATATTTTTGGATAAATCTCTAAAATTATTGTTTTTGAAATATTAAAATATCAAAAGGTATATCATATATAAAAAATATAAAATAAGTAGTGTAAAGATAGCACTCCAAAGACTTCAGAAATATGGTGAAAAAACGTATCTTTATTCAGGCATAAGCCTAGGTGGATCAATGTTTCAGTTCACTAATGGAACTTTCATCAGGATCCTGACGAAAGTTCCATTAGTGAACTGAAATGTTAATCCACCTAGGCTGATGCCTGCAAAAAAAGATAAGTTTTTTCACCATATTTCATACTACAAAACATCAAACTACAAAATGCCTGACGTATCTCTTTAACCGGTTCTGGTAGGTATATTTTGTAAGCGGCTGATTTCCAGTGTCTCATAGTCTTGATTATATGAGCTGGAATGTGATTGGATGATGCAGATAACGCTGCCCCTATGTAAAAAGAGTGGCTTGAGTAATGAGTTGCATTGAGGCCAGACGTCCCATCTGGCTAGTTTTAGAGTGGGGAAGTGATCTACGGATTTGTGGATATCAACTGTTTTAAGGTAGTCTGTGGAAGTTATATTAATGGTAGTGAATTCCCTAGGCCGTAAGAATCCGTAAAACGCTAGGTATATGGCGGTTTTAATTACCATATTAGTTATATGTAGTGATGTACCGAACGGTTCGCCGGCGAACGGTTCCTGGCGAACATAGCATGTTCGCGTTCGCCACGGCGTGCGAACATATGCGCGGTTCGACCCGCCCCCTATTCGTCATCATTGAGTAAACTTTGACCCTGTACCTCACAGTCAGCAGACACATTCCAGCCAATTAGCAGCACAGCCTCCCTAGCAGACCCTCCCACCTACTGGACAGCATCCATTTTAGATTCATTCTCAAGCTGCATGCTTAGTAAGAGGAGGGAAAGTGTAGCTGCTGTTCATAAGATAGGGAAAAGCATAGCTAGGTTAGGGATAAGGGTATGCTTTTTTTGGATTTTTTTTTCTATCTAATGTAAATGCACTTAGTTGTCTGCCACTGCTGCCAGCTTCTGTGTCAGGCTCACAGTGCCTATTTCCCCAGTCAGTGCCACCAATTACATCTGGTGTCACAATAGCTTGGATTTAAAAACAAAAAACTTTTTTCACTGTTATAGATTGAATAGCAGTCAGTTGTCTGCCACTGCTGCCAGCTTCTGTGTCAGGCTTACAGTGCATACTGTGCCCATTTCCCCAGTCAGTGCCACCAAATACATCTGGTGTCACAATAGCTTGGATTTAAAAAAAAAAAACTTTTTTCACTGTTATAGATTGAATAGCAGTCAGTTGTCTGCCACTGCTGCCAGCTTCTGTGTCGGGCTCACAGTGCATACTGTGCCCATTTCCCCAGTCAGTGCCACCAATTACATCTGGTGTAAAAACAAAAAACTTTTTTTTACTGTTATAGATTGAATAGCAGTAAGTGTCCTTAAAGCGGGTGTGTTACGCTAACAGTGGATACGCTGACCAGTGCCACTAATTAGATCTGGAGTCACAATAGTTTGGATTTAAAAAAAAAATAATCTTTTTTCACTGTTATAGATTGAATAGCAGTCAGTGTCCTTAAAGCGGGTGTGTTACGCTAACAGTGGATACGCTGACAAGTGCCACTAATTAGATCTGGTGTCACAATAGCTTGGATTTAAAAACAAAAAACTTTTTACTGTTATAGATTGAATAGCAGTCAGTGTCCTTAAAGCGGGTGTGTTACGCTAACAGTGGATACGCTGACAAGTGCCACTAATTAGATCTGGTGTCACAATAGTTTGGATTTAAAAACAAAAAACTTTTTTTACTGTTATAGATTGAATAGTAGTCAGTGTCCTTAAAGCGGGTGTGTTACGCTAACAGTGGATACGCTGACAAGTGCCACTAATTAGATCTGGTGTCACAATAGTTTGGATTTAAAAAAAAAATAATCTTTTTTCACTGTTATAGATTGAATAGCAGTCAGTGTCCTTAAAGCGGGTGTGTTACGCTAACAGTGGATACGCTGACAAGTGCCACTAATTAGATCCTGTGTCACAATAGTTTTGATTTAAAAAAATAATAATCTTTTTTCACTGTTATAGATTGAATAGCAGTCAGTGTCCTTAAAGCGGGTGTGTTACGCTAACAGTGGATACGCTGACCAGTGCCACTAATTAGATCTGGTGTCACAATAGCTTGGATTTAAAAAAAAAATAATCTTTTTCACTGTTATAGATTGAATAGCAGTCAGTGTCCTTAAAGCGGGTGTGTTACGCTAACAGTGGATACGCTGACAAGTGCCAACAATTAGATCTGGTGACACAAAGCTTGGATTTAAAAAAACAAAACACTTTTTTCACTGTTATAGATTGAATAGCAGTCAGTGTCCTTAAAGCGGGTGTGTTACGCTAACAGTGGATACGCTGACAAGTGCCACTAATTAGGTTC